ATGAGATTACAAGTCTGGTTGATAAAAGTGTTGACGTAGTAGGGTTAAATAAGGCATTTGGTTTAGCCTCATGTGATATTCTGATTGATGTTATCAGCATTTAAATGGCAAAACACTTCGTTAATGCTGCATACAGTTGCCCTCTGATAGCATGTCCTTCAGAATGGCAGGGCGTATAATAGGGGACATGACTGAAAGAGGGCAGAATTAAGGCTTTGTGTTTAGGGAGGGGGTTTCCCTTAATGCTATATTTCCAGCTTTTCACAAGTTTGAGTTTTGCTGATCTCGATATTCTGGATGGGCAGGAGCTGTCGCCAGCCAATAGCTCTCTGTTCACATGCTCTGCCACTGAATGTGGAGGTTTTTTAACCAGAAGGAATGTTTGGAGCTAGGAGCCAGTGGTCATTCAGCCAGCTGTTGCTGCCACCTAGGTTTACAGCTGTTCCTGTGGGGAGGTAATAATTAAGAGACCTAGCTTTTCTACAGAGCTTTACATCTGGGGAATAGATAGACTCTGGGAGGCCCTGGGCAAGGTGTGAAGAGGGTCCTGCTCCACACTCCTGGAAGGGGCGGGACCTCAGGCAGAAGGGATGGGGCTGGGGGCAGCCAGTCTTCAGTGACACTTGGAACACAGAGAACCCCTCTCCTAGCCCTCAGAGCCACCCAAGCACATGGCATGGTGCTCCGGAGGTGATTTAAAAGGCCCAGGGCTCTGGCCACTGCCCCTTTTGAATCACCAGGCCCAAGGACAACTGACCCCTTTGGCCTCACCTCTCAGTGAGCCTGCTTTACATCACTATCCCCATTTCACAGATGGGAAACCAAGGTCCAGAGATGGGAAGTGACTTGCCCAAGGTCATCCAGCAAGCCAGTGGCAGAGATAGGGATAGTCCCAGACCAATGGGCTTGCTATTTGGCCACACAGTTGTCATGTGGTTCCTCAGGGCTGCTGCCCCTCCTGTACATTGCATTCTAGTGCCATGGGCATACTGGTGGTGCTTGGGGGATGTTTGCCACATGTCACTGCTAATAGGGCTGGGGAGAGAGATCCTGTCGCTGGGCTTTGCCCAAACCTTGGCAGTGTTACCAGCCTTGCCCATGATGTGGCCTCACTTCCAGCTGTGCAGCAGTCTCCCCTGTACCACACTTGTCACATCTCCTGCCGCTCCCAATTTCCTCTGGGGCTGCTGCTGCCAGAGCTTGGCTGGTGCGTCAGGCCAGGCAGGCTCCATAGCTGCTGGGGGCAGAGAAGAGAGCAGGCGCTGGATCAGGCCAGGGAGCAGGTAGGAAGTGGGGTGATGGGGCCAGGAGCAGCTCCCCCCAGTGAGGCAGGCATGCCCTGCCAGGACCCCCTTCCCAGCCTGGAGCCAGTTGCCCCTCCATACTTCCCATCACTCCCTGCCCCCCTGCCAAGCACCCACCTGGGCTCCCCCACCTTGGCTCCCTGGCATGATGTCTGCATCACACAATGTGTCCTGTGGTGAAAGCATTTGACCCCTTCAGCGGAGGCCCTCTTGTCATCTGTGCACCCTGCCCCCGCATCTATGTCATCCCTGCTGTCAGCCTCGACTCAGCTGGGGCCCCTGCACCTGCATTGGGTGGCTGCTGCTCCCAGCCTTGGCTATGTTGGTTGGGAGCCTCCAGACTCAGGCAGAAGGTGGGAGAAGGGAAAATCAGTCAGAAATGGAAGGGGCGGGGCAGGGGCAGACACTTCTGCTGGAGTGGCAGCCCTGCCCTCCTCCCCGCATGGGGAGGAAGCAGCCAGTGACCCCAAGGAAGTGCAGAGGGTCAGGAGTTAGGGTCCACAGGTCATATTCAATGAAGTAGCGGGCCAGAGGTTCTCAACCCCTGCATTAAGCCTGTAGAAGGGTTTTATGTATAGAAAATTGTTCCTTGCTGGCTCTTGCCATAGGTGTCGTTTGACTTCTGTATTTGGGGGTTGGCTCCAGTCAAGCCAAGTGGACCATGCACAGGGGGAAAATTTGTGACAGCCCGTAGGGGCACCAATTCACATTTTTGGGGTGGGGGGAAGTGTGCAACTAATTCCAGGGACTACTTAGGCAACTGAAAACTCTAGTTGTGCAGATTGTTTCTACGTTATCTGACAGGAGCCCTGTTTCTAATTCCTACATCAAAAAAGAAAATTAAATGGTCGACTCCCTCAGCTCTAATACTAACATGGTTTGACATCTCAGGGCAGGTCACTTAAGGGACACTGGTTTAAAATTGTAATGTCAGTTCTTACTTGGATGCTCTTTCTAAAGTCAGAAGGGACCATCGTGATCTAGTCTGACCTCCTGCACGTTGCAGGGCACAGAACCTCACCCACCGACTCCTGCAATAGACCCCAACCTCTGGCTGAGTGACTGAAGTCCTCAAGTCATGGTATAAAGGCTTCAAGTTACAGAGACTCCACCATTTACACTGGCTGAAACCCTCAAGTGACCTGTGCCCCATGTTGCAGAAGAAATGAAAAACCACCAGGGTCTCTGCCAATCTGACCTGCAGGAAAATTCCTCCTGACCACTCACATGGTGATCAGTTAGACCCTGAGCATGTGGGCCACACCCACTAACCAGGCATCTTGGAAAGTATTATTTGTAGCAACTTGGAGTCCGTTCCATCTAGTGTCCCATCTCCAGCCACTGGGGACATGTCCTGTCCTTCCACCCCTTCCCTCAACTTACCTTACCAAGCTCAGTCTTTAAGCCAGTTAGGTTTTCTGGCCTTACTGCACCTCTTGGGAGGCTACTCCAGAATGTCACTGCTCTAATGCTTAGAAACTTCCACCTAATTTTAAGCCTACACTTGTTGATGGCCAGTTTCTATCCATTTGTTCTGTGGTCCATACTGGTGCTTAACTCTTTTCCTTCCCTGGCTTTTATCCCTCTCATGTATTCATAGAGAGCAGGCCCACTGACCGGGATGGGGAGCAGGGCAAAGGGGGCAACTATCCTAGAGCCCAGCGATTCTATAATGATACTAAAACACTTCCCTGAACCTTCTGGAAATACCTCGTCAATGCACCACATTGACTGCTCATGATAAATACACCCAGGTCATTCTCCTCTTCTGTCACTTCCAATGGGTAAATCCCCAGCTTATAGCAAAAGTTCTTGGTGTTGACCCTAAATGCATAATCTTGCACTTTGCAGTGTTACATTTCATCTCATTCTTATTATTCCACTTTAAAAGGTCATCGGATCTTCTTGTAGGGCATTCTGGTCCTCCTCCATAATGGCAGAGCCTCCCAGCTTTGTGTCATCTGCAACTTTTAGTAGCAAATACTTTTATTACTGACCTTGGGTCAAAAAGTGGGTATTAAATAAGGTTGCTCCCAAGACTGATCCCTGAGGAGCCCCATTAGTAACCTCCCTCCAGCCTGACAGTTGACTTTTCAGGGTGACCTGCTGTAGTTGCTCCTTTAATCATTTCCTCCTCCACCTTTCAGTTCTCATCTTAGTCCCCATCTTCTCCAGTTTACCTAATAATTCCCCATGTGGAACTGTATCAAATGCCTCTCTGGTGGCCAGATAGATTAGATCTTCTGCATTTCCTATGTCTAAAAAAATCAATTCTGTCCTCAAGGAAAGAAATCTGTAACTTTGTTACTGTCTCCAGTTTCCTAACATAGAAACAACTGTAGAAATTTTTACAATTACTTTCTGTCATTTCAGCTACTTACTTTTTGCAGTTCACCCATCTTGGAACAGATCATTTAACTTGAGGAAATATCCTAAAAGCCTTTTCTAATCTTATGCACCAGCAAAACACTTACCCAGGAACCTAACCCTGCAACAAACTCCATTGTCAACTCTGTCCACACATCTATACAAGCAACACCCATCATGGGATCTAACCATGTAATTCAGACCCTCAGGGGCTCATCCACCTGCACATCCACTAATGTGATTTATGCCATCAAGTGCCTGTAGTGCCCCTCTGCCATGTATATTGGCCAAACTGGACAGTCTCTGCACCAAAGGATAAATGGACACAAATCAGACATCAGGAAGAGTAACACACATAAACCTGCAGGGGAACACTTTAACCTCCCTCAACATTCATTTATGGATTTGAAAGTAGCCATCCTTCTACAAAAGAATTTCAAAAACCGGTTACAAAGGGAGACAGCTGAACTGGAATTCATTCGCAAATTCAACACTAGCATTGTAGGATCAAATAAGGATCTTAACTGGTTACATTAAGCAATTATAAAAGCAATTTCCAATCTCTGAACATTCACATCTCCAGACCAAATGCTATGAATGACCCACTTCCACCCTGACTTGATTAGCTTCATTAACACAAGCAACTTCTTCCATATACATATACATACATACATACACCCTCCTGCTTCTGTACCTTCCACTCCAGCTGATGAAGTGGGGTTTACCCACAAAAGCATATGCCCTAATAAATCTGTTAGCCTCTGTGCCACTGGACGCCTCATTGTTTCTGCAGATACAGACTAGCCCCTCTGAGTGTGTTAATTACTGTTCATACTCAAAATTCTGCATGCCTGCATCAGGGGCCCAGGCTGGGAGAAATCCCCTGTCTCCACTGCATAACTGCTTACATTGCAAACTCTGGCCATGTCTCCACTGACACATTTTGTCACCAAAATCTGCCTTTTGGCAACAAAACAGTGAGAGCATTTACACTGCAATGTGACTTTTGGGGGGGGGGGAACTCAGTTTTGGTGACAAAAAACTTCCTCCCCAGTGAGAGACTTTTGTCTTTCCCCCTCCCTTTATTATCTACCAAGAACCACTGTGGACTCTGCTGTTTGTTTTGTCGAGAGAACTGGTTTCTATCAGTACCCCACAATGCCTGCCCTGATGTTTGTGCTCAGTGTTTTACAATCTCTGCTGCCCTGCAAGCATGCACCCTCCCCTTTCAAAGCTCTGGGAAGTGTCTAACAGCTGAATGAGCTGCTTCCTTTGGGGAACAAAGAACAAATTGCTGAAATGCTCCTGTTCTGTCCTGCTAGGCACAAAGTGTCAGGTAGACTGCTGCTGCCGGAGGACGGCTGTAGAGATTGCTGTGCTACTTTGACATTCCTCAAAGAGCTACGAGGGAATCCCAAGAAACGCAGGAATCAGCTCTGCCTTCCCACAATACTGCACTGTGGGTATGCTTACCCACATTACCATGCTCTATCCATCGACAGGGTGCTAGCAATGTAGCGATGAAATGTCAACAATGGAAGGCAGAAAGTTTGACTGGTTTTCACTTTTGGTGACTTTTGCCTGTCAATGTCACTTCCATTGCCAAACCTTCCAGTGTAGACTTAGCCTCAGGCTGCAGTTTGGGGTGTAACCTTTCCCTGCCCCCCAAACCCTGCCCATGGCTCCTGCCCTAATATGCTGAATACACACATCCCAGGCAGCAGCTAATTGAGGGCCACAGACTCCCTTGGTTGGGGACAGGGTCATCCAGGACCATAGGGGATGTGGAGCCCAGGACACCTCCACCAGCTCAGGTCCCACCCCCACCTCACCCCTTCTTCCAAGCCTCCACCCCACCTCTTCTTGCCCATGCTCTGCCCTCTTCCTGCCCCATTCCATTCCTTGCCCCAAGCTCCCATCACCATTGGTGAGTGCAGGAGCAGGCCCAACCCCTGCAGTTGGCACCAGCCCCAACATCCAGGCCACACTTGACCCTATGCTTCCACATCTCCCTGAAGAGCGAGGCCTCTGGCAGTTGCCCCAAACTGTCCTATGGACAAGGGCTTTGGTTGGGGGGTCTATCCAGAGCGTTAACTTCAGTCCCTACCATGGATCACACAGGGCAGCAGGGCGTAAGGCCCCATGAAGAGCAGGATCCCCCAGTTCCCAGAACACTGTAGGAATGGGGAGGGTCTCTGATCCCTGCAGAGGGGTGGGTCTCTCCCAGATCCCAGCCCACCCACTGACTTGCTGGGTGACTTCAGAGCTGACAGTCCCCACCCCCAACTTCTCCTGCTACCCCTGACATTCTCCAACCTCACCTATCTTCTGCCCTCCCACTTCCCCCATCCCCTTTCACCTCATTTGAGCACCTAGTCCCTCTTCCCTCCTCTACCACCCATTCCTACATTGCTCCCTGCAGGCCCAAACCCTGCATCCTCTCTGAGCACCTCCTCTTGCTCCCCTAATTACCTCTCCCCCGAGCAGTCACTTAGGTGCTTTTCAGAAATTGTTTCAACACCATGGGAATAATCTGGGGTGATCAGATGACATTTCCACACAATAAATAAATAAAAATTCCAGCTGAGGTAGATTTTTCCTTTCCACTTCCTTCTCAGATTTCTGCCCAGGGTCGCTGTCAAAGAAGAGAGTTGCTAGAGCCTATTAACATAATGAAATGGTGTTGCCTTCCCTCTGCCCCCAGGAGGGCTGTATCTCAGGATGGAACCTTTGGCTCAAATAACACCATGTCTGCATCACTATCCCTGTCCTATGCTCCTGTGAGACACAGCAAATTTCAAGACCATCCATGTCTTGAAAGCATGCAGGCTTTCAGAGCACCATCCATGTCTGAAAGCATGCAGGCTTTCACAGCACTTAAAAGAGGCGTCCTTTTAACTGGAGGGGTTCCCAGTCTTTAAGGGCATGTCTACATGGACAGCGCTGCAGTGGCACAGCCGTACCAATGCAGCTGTGCCGGGGGATGTGTGGTAGCACTTGGGAGGTGCACTGCCCCCCTGCCACCATTTTATTTGCTAAATGGGGTGCCCCCACATACCCCCAACCTGTCCCTCTGGATGGCCTTTCCTGCACCCCCACCTCCTGCAGTCACCGGTCACCCTGGCTGTGCTGCTACGGGTGAAGATGCTGACAGGAGAGTGTCTTCTCCATCATGAATGGCTGAAGCTCTGGGGGCGGGAGAAGCTCGCCTGCCAACATAGCGCTGTGCATGAGCGCTCATGGCTCCTGGGCGGATATTCACACCCCTATGACCTAAGTGATGCAGACATTGGCTGCGGTGCCCACCTAGCCTTAGAGCAGAGCTGGCTGGCCTGTGCCATGAGACTGTCTGAAAACAGAGGGAGAACGGAGGGGAGAGACTCTGCGCATCCATCAGCAGCACCGCTGGCTCAGAGGTGACAAGTGGCCCCACACAGCTCAATGAGCTGTCCTCAGCCTAAGGAGGATGCCTAACGGAGAGGAGCACAGCCTGAAGCTGTAGCACTGAGACCTGACTTCACTTGCTCCACACGTGTCAGAGGGTGGACACACAGAATAATTGGCCACCAGTCTCTTGACAACAGCCACATACACTAACACTGAGAGGCCTCACCAGTGTCTTACCCATCACACTCTCAGACAGGCAGCCGTGTTAGTCTGCATCTGCAAAAACAATGTAGGAGTCCCGTGGCACCTTAGGGTGCATCTACACAGCACCCTACACTCGAAATAAGATACACAATTTGCGTTATGCAAATTGCATCTTATTTCAATTGTATTTCAGAATAGCTTATTTTGAAATATGGCACGTCTCCCCATGTGTACTGCCTCCCACCTGCTGCACCCCACCCTGCAGAGAGGCAGGACCATGGGGGGGGGGAAGGTGGCTCCCAGGGAACCATTGCATGTGGGGAGCCAGCTTTTAAACTGGCTCCCTGTGTACCAGGACCATGTGGCTACTTCTAGACTGCAGGCTTCTTACACAAGAAGCTTTTGTTGGAAGAGATCTTCCACAAAAACTTCTTGCACAAGAGCGCATCCACACTGCAAAAGTGCATCGAAAAAGCAATGTGCTTTTGCACAAGACAGTGTCCAGACTGCCTGGATGCTCTCTCACAAGTAAGCAGTGATTGCTATAGACAGACTGGCCACCAGGCCACCTGTGCTTTTTCCTATTCCCTCCTCTTGAGCAAAAAACCCTTCTTCCCTGTCCACACACACCTTTTTGCACAAGAGCTCTTACACAAAAAGGCATTCTTCCTTGTAGAATGAGGATTACCAATTGCACAAAAACCCCTCTGATCTTTTGATTTACTTGTGCAAAAACGCACTTGAGGTGTGGATGCTCTGCGAGTTTTTCTGGAAAAACAGCTGTTTTCTGCAAAAACTCTGTAGTGTAGACATAGCCTGTGTGTAACTATGAAGGTAACCAATGAGCCCAGGCCCACCTATCTTCCTCAGGTGCTTACACATATAGACCTACTCTCCACTCCATTATCCAAGTCATTAATGGAAATATTGAATCGTACTGAACCAATACTGACCCCTTCTGGACCTCACCAGCTACACTCATGCATTTTGACAATGAACCATTGATAACTACAGTCCTTCAACCAGTGGGCACGCACTTTAGAGTAATTTCATCTTGATCGTATTTCCCCAGTTTGCTTATGAGCATGTCATATGGGATTCTCTTCAATGCTTTAGTAAAAATCAAGATATATCGCGTCTGCTACTTTCCCCCATCCACCAGGCATTTAGCTCAGTCAAAGACTGAAATTAGGTTGGTTTGGAAAGATTTGTTCTTGATACATCCATGCTGGCTGTTCCTTATAATCCTATTATCCTCCAGGTGCTTACATATTGATTTTTAAATAATCTGTTCCATTATCTTTCCAGCTATCAAAGTTAGGCTGACTGGTCTATAATTCCCCGTGTCCTCTTTATTCCCCTTTCTAAAAACAGGTGCTGTGTTTGCCCTTCTCTGTGCTTCCTGGATTTCCCCCATCCTCGTATTAGCTCCCAAAGAGAATTGTTAATGGTTCTGACTTTGCTTTAGTTAGTTCCTTAAGTACCTTAGGCTGAATTTCATCAGACTCCTCTGGCTTGGTCTTGAAAACATCTAACTTATAGCACATTTACCGGGTGTTGCTCGGCTCCTTAAGGAGAGGCTCAGGTATAGTATGCTGAGAGTGTGGGGGTGCAGGAGTCAGGGTTGTGGGTGAGGAGGGGCTCTGGGCTGGGGACTATGTGTATGTGTACATGCGCATAGGGGGAAGAGCTGGGGGTGTAGAGCCCTCTCCCCCCGAGATTCATACCAGGGCTGCTTGATATTTCCCGTCCTTTCCCTGTCAGGGAGCAAGAGCAAAATGCACAACTCATCTGCCCCCTGCTTTCTCCAGCTAGTGAGGAATGTAGCAAACCGTGCTCTTTCCCCTCACTCCCCGATGAAAGGGAACAGCCAACAATATCCCCGTATGAATCTGAGGGGGTTGCTTCAGCCCCCCGACACACTTCCCAAAGGGCACTTGTGGGGTGGGAGGCTTGGGCCCGGGACTCCAACCATCCCATTTCACCTGCGTGGAGATTCTGTCTCTTTTCTATATGGTTTCCTGAGAAGCAATCCCATTTCAGGCCCATTCCATTTTCCTTGTACATCCAAACCCTTATCTTTCTTTAAGTTTGATAAGAGGAAGCTGTAGTCGAATTGGGTGGTCCTAGCTCTGAGGAGTTCTTGAACAAGCTCTCTCAAATAAATGAATAGTAGATTATTTAAGCCATTCTTTGCCTATTTCCTCCATGTTAATATTAATTTTATTGAATATCTGGTCATCATTAACATTTTCACTGAAGACTGAAGCATAGGAGGCATTAAGCATCTCAGCTTTTTTGAGTCATCAGTTAACTCTTCTTAACTACTAAATAGAAGACCTGCAGTTTCCTTCCTCTTTCACTTGCTCCTAATGTATTTAAGGAACCTCTTCTTATTGCCTTTTATATCCCTTGCTAGATGTGACTCATTGTGAACCTGATCTTTTCTGATTTTGTTCTTACAGGCTTGTATTATTCGTCTGTAGTCCTCCTCAGCAATTTGTCCATGCTTTCACTTTTTGTGGGGTTGCTTGTGTATTTTAAAGGGCTCTTTATTAAGTCATATTGGCCTCTTACTAATCTTCCCATCTTTCCTTCACACCAGGATAGTTTGATGTCCCTTTAATACGGTCAGTTCTAAGCAGCCCGCTCAGGCTATATCTATGTTGCAGAGCTATTTCAAGATACCTCCAGTATCCTGAAATAGCTATTCCACGCCTTAAAAGCAAGCCCATTATATCGAAATATAACAGGCTCACTATTCCAACATCCCTGTAAACCTCATTGCCCGAGGGTTAAGTGGTGTTTCAGAATAACGAAATAAGCTATTTTGAAATTACTTTGAAATAAGCTACGCAATTTGCTTAGTGCA